TGTACAGTTTTTTACTGATATAGGTTGATAACTTAGCAAGTAATTTACAAGAAAATGTGCCCAATAATCAGCTTCCAAAAATATCTTTGAACTCATTTATTTTGGATAAAGTAGAGCAATGTTATGTCTTTAAAAAATCGAAAAGGTCCTGGGTTCGACAGTATTTAAAGCGAGCATTTGAAAATTATAGCCGAAGACATAACAAAAATTTTAAAGAAGGGTAATATAAAATCGATATTTTTCAAAAAGTTTTATCTACTAGAATGGCGATACCTCACAAAATTTTATTAGAATATTGGACAAAATCGGTTTTAGAAGAAACTTATCCATCAAGTTGCCCACAATCTGTCCCGATATCAAGATCATTTGTCAAGGAAATGTATATTAAGTGTGGCGTCCGACAAGGCCCACTGTTAGTCAATATATTTAAACGACATTTTCGAAATTAATTGTGTCGGCAAAATAACCAATTTGCAGATGATACTGCAATAGCATCTGAAGACACCGACTGGTCTGATCTAAAAAATGTTATTTAAAATGATTTTGTCAAATTATTCGGTGGTTTACTAATAGCAGAAAATTAAGGGTTAACTATTTTAAAACACATTTTTTACCATTGGCATGCTACGCTAGACAATTACACAAATTTCTCGTTCAACATTAATCATCAAAAAATACAAATTAATAGAGTGCCAAACATAAAATACCTTGGAATAGTATTGGATCCTCACTTACGGTGGGACATTCACGTCGCTTAGAGTTTAAAGAAAGGAAGATTTGTATCGTACAAAATCAAATACCTTGCGAATATACTGACAGAAAAATATTTTCGTACATTATACCACACTGATTGAGCCTCGTCTCACGTATGGAATATTAGCATGGGGAGCTGCATGCTCATCACATATCTATAATTTACATATTTTTCAAAAAGCATTTTCAAGATAATGTCTGAGAAACCGAAAATTTATCTCACTAACAAATTATACGCAGATGTGCAAATGTATGATATAAGGCAGCTTTATTTCTTACGCAGTATCACTACCATAAATTTGTCAACACCGATCAGTAAATTGAAAATAATATACAAGGAACAAAATTCGCAGCATAGAAGTTCCTCAACCACACAAATCTATAATGCAGCGGTCATATCTCTATTTAGCTCCAAACTTTTTGGAATTGTACCTAAAGACTTAAAAGATTTACATTTCGGAAATTATTCCAAAAGAAATTTGAGAAAGTGGCTGGCTACATTCTATATCTGAGACTGAAATTCATAAATACGAACATCAAGTAAATGCGTAATCTACTTTGATCAATTTTTGCTTTTTTGGTAATTTTTATTCTACAGTTGCAACTTAAAATTATTGGTTCATGTACAGGCAATGCCTCCCATTGGGCGTGTTTTATTCTATATTCATTTACTCTGTTTGTTCTCTTTGTACATTGAGTGAATACAAATTAGTATTATTATGTTGATATACTTAGGTAATACAAAATTGTCATACATCGAGCAAAGATTACTTTGTTTGTTGTTTTGATGTATGTATTGTCACCAGTAATTTGTATATCTGTTGATGGTGTATAAATAATTTGTGCAACAGTGCAACGGTGAAGGAGCTATAAAGTTTGTCTTATTAAAGCGGCATGCCGAAAACTTTAAACCTTATGCTGACGATGCAGTATTACAGATATCGAAATTCACTAAAACCTACTTCTCAGAATCAAAAAATATTTTCCGTCTTCGCGCACGAGTGAAAAGTAGGAATATCTGCTCATAAGTATGAGCTACTCATCTCACGTGTCAAAAACAAAAAACCTGTACATCACCTGTCGATTCCATCATCGCGTCGGAAACCATTAGAAGGAACCATCACCAACTACACACGGTACTGCCGACATACTGGCGGTACCAACACCGCTGCACCAATCAGAGTCGGATAGGCGTGTCCCGCTTAACCCCATCACCGTCCATCGGTACCGATGACGGACCGTGGTAACCCAGGAACCCAAGGTGGTACCAGTACGACATTTATCGCGTCGGTGCGAAATAATACATAATCAACGGTTTAATTTACGGGAAAGTGCTGATGTGTGCATTTGGAATCAACACCCCAGGGATTATTAGGACTCTAAATATACAAATAGATCGATTAATGGGTGGATTTGTGAAAGACTTGTGCAAAGTTGAATAGGAGGAGGTGTTTAGATTCGTTAATTGGCGTCAAATACGATAATTAGGAAGGTAAGAGAATGAGTATTTATTTACAGATTTGCATTATACAAATAAAAATGGAACCGGATAGATTGTCTCAGTACTTACCGCAAGTTGATTTAAAGGACCCCTCTATCTGAAACCGTCAAACCACATAATATAATAATATCAAACGTCTTTTATTGAGGACGAAGCTTAGCTTAGCTATTCTGCCACTCAACCATTGAAAAGTACAAAAAACAAACAAACTATGCTGGTGAGTGTTTTTTTTAAAATAAATTGTTAAGCAAGAGACTATGAGTGTAACTCATATAGGCCTCTCAGCTTCATCCATCCCAAGTTTCTCAAAGAATCGCTGATATGGTCATATTTTCTCAAATTAGTAATATTATGGATAAAGTTGAAGCATTTCAAAATACTATTATACTATTCATAATAAAATACACTGACGATATAAAATACATAAATAAATGAGACACTAACAGGATAAAATACAGATTAAACAATGTGAATACGCCACAAAAGAGTAATATACTAAGTGACATATAAATCCGAACACCCAGTTTAAATGGTTTTATTTTAATAAAAGTTGGTGAATGTATTTATCTTACTGTAAATAACAAGTGAAAAATTTTCAGCCTTATCAGTTGGACATTCCGGTTTTTATACTGCTTTTTTTTAATTCACTAACGCTTTAAAATGAATATTTCAGCCGCAGTAAAGAATCAACGTTGGCGGATTTTGGTTCTTGACATCCTTTACGATCGGTTACAATGCCTAGAGTACGGAGACCTGTACGATTTCGTTAACTTAGTGAGTTTTATAGGGGCCGTATAGTGGGACTTCGGGAAGCTGGACTTTCTTTTCGGGCAATTGCAGTTAGAGTGCAAAGAAGTGTAGACACTGTGGTTAGGTGTTGTCAGGCATGGCTTCGAGAAGGCCGTACGCAAAAAGCAAGGGGCACTGGACGCCGCCGTAGAACAACAGACCGTGAAGATCGCCGCCTAAGATTATTGGCCTTAAGGGACCGTTTCTCCACTACCAGGTCCATTGCAAATGAATGGTTTGCAGAACACGGAAGACCTATTGGCATGCGAAGTGTTTACCGACGAATGAGAAGTGTTGGCTTGTTTTCATACCGGCCACACTGGGTCCTCCCTTTAAGTCGAGAACACCGACGTAATCGCCTTGAGTGGTGCAGACAACGGTCACTCTGGGATCAGGAATGGAACAGGATTGTCTTTAGTGACGAGTCTCGATTTTGTTTAGGCATGCACGATGGTCGTGCCAGGGTTAGAAGGCCACGTGGTGAAAGGAGGAATCTACAGTTTTTTGTTGAAAGGCATGTTCATCACACTGTTGGAGTTATGGTTTGGGGTGCTATAGCTTATGGTTCCAGGTCACCTTTAATCTTCATCAGAGGGTAACATGAACGCGCAGCGTTATATCCACGAAGTTCTAGAACCCCATCTTTTACCCTATCTTGACACCCTGGCAGATCCAACTTTCCAACAAGATAATGCCCGACCACATGTTGCAAGAGTCACAATAGACTTCTTTCAACATAATGATGTCACATTGTTACCATGGCCACCAAGATCTCCCGACTTATCCCCAATTGAGCACGTGTGGGATATGATGGGTAGGAGATTGCTCAATTTGCAACGTCCTCCTCAGACTCTAGAAGCACTTCGAGAGGAGTTGGTGGTTGCCTGGAATGAGATACCACAGGAGGACATTGACCACCTGATCAGAAGCATGCCTAGGCGCGTAGCACATCCGGGTGCATCCACACATTATTAAAGGTCAAAGGGCTTTAAAGCAGTGCAACCATTTTGAAATTTTTATCATTTACTTATTATGCTTCATTAAGTACTTAT